AGTGTCTGTTCAGGTCCTCTGCCCATTTTTTGATTGGATCATTTGTTGTCGTCGTTGTTGTTGTTGTTGTTGTTGTTGTTATTGAGACAAATGAGTTCTTTGTATATTTTGGATATTAGGTCCTTATTGGAGGTGTTGCTTGCAAATATATTTTCCCATTCGGATAGTTGTCTCTTTACCTTGGTTGATGGTTTCCTTTGCTGTACTAAACTTTTTAGTTTGATGTAGTCCCATTTGTTTATTTTTTTCTTTTGTTTCCCGGTTTTTAGCACTTTTATCTGGTTCCCTGGAAGTGTAAGGCGGCAGCGCCCTCTGGTGGATTACTTAAGTAGCTGCGCTTTAGCGGTGATTCCCGTCTTGGCTGCAAACTAGCCACCCAGTGAGTTTTAAAAATCTCGTTCAGGCCCCGCCTCAAACCAGCTAAATCAGAATCTTGGGGTATGACCCAAGCTTCGTATTTTTTAACTCTCCTCAGGCGATTTCAATGTTCAGCTGTGACGGAGTCACCGATTTTAGTATTAATTTTATGTGTGAAGAAACAAGTCTAGAATAGAAAACGTATCAGTGGAAAATAAAATTCCCCAGGATCAAAACCCTCCAATTATCCATTAAAAAATCAGTCATGTGACGCTTAATCTGGATGGGTCTAAGAACACTGGAAATTCTCAGTCGAGGGAAGGTACCATAAATATCTTGGGGACCGGCTGTGTCCAGGTAGGTCCAAAGTCACTGTTGGATCAAGAATGCCGACAGAGAGGGAATCAGCTTTAATAAAATGAATGAACTATTTGCATTTGGCTCCCAGAGTTCTGTCAGCTCCATCCCCTCTAAACAAGGAATCTGAAACTTGAGCATACATCTAGAAAGCTTTCCGTCAATCAGCTCCTTCAAACAGAAAGTTGGACCCCACCCCCTGAATTTCTGAGTTAGTAGGTCCAACCCATTCCCCAGTGATGTCTAGGCTGCTGTTCTGGGACCAGGCTTAAAAAAATCACTGCTCTAAAAAATAACCAGATTGACACCCCACTTCACATCTGCACCTGGTCCAGCAGTCCTTAAAGCAGGTATGCAAGGCCAGCAGAATGGCGCTTTGACTGTGGCAATAATGATGAGTAAGTGCAAAACAGATCAAGTCCAATGTCTCAGATGCACCCGGACTGATCAGGTGGAGGGGCAGCGGGTGGGGTCCATAGGGGCAGGGCTTGGGTTATAGGCTTTGTCCCACCAAGCTCCAGCTCAAAGGGGTTCTGTACAAGCCCTAGTCATTGAGAAAGCAGGGGGTACGTTCACCCCAGAAGTGGGAGTGTAAAGTCCCTAAAGTTTGCTTGAAGACACTGCCATCCACAGCCAAGAGGCCACTATTGTGCCATCCATATTGCATACCTGGGGACCTTTAACTTTTTTTTCTTGATGATATTTTTTATCATAATCCCATTAGTCTAAGTGATATATTTTAAATATCATCTTTTTAAAAAGTGCCTTTAAATGAATGCAATAGAGCTTAAATATCAAAGCAATTTGATACCTACATTATCCATTTTAAAAGTGCATGAGAAAACTCTTATTACAATGTTGAATTTCCCCTGAACCCTGTGTTCCTGGAACGAGTGATGGTTAGGAAATCTCTCCTACCCCTTTGTGTTCTGGAAATGTCTTACTGCAAAGAAATACCCTGCCCCACGTGACTGAGATTAGACGCATGGATTCCTGCCTGTGACAAGGCATGGCACAGACCTTCCAAATTCTCACTCTCTGTCTCATCGGTGATGAGCCGAACTGCTGGGTGCAGTGACCAACTGGGACACAATGCTTGTTAACCAAACTTTGGTTAAGTTTTTCTTCTTCCCCTGGGTTCCTGAACTAGGGCCACCCTCGGCCAGAGCCCATTGACAATCCTTCCAGAGAACAGCCTGGCCTGAGGGTGAAACAATCTCTAATCTACTATCAGATCTACTATCAGATCTACTATCCGGATACTGGATCAGATCCCTCCTGTTCATCTCACCTCCCCAGATCCTGTTCTTTCTAGTTTTGGTGGCTCCTCCACGTAAAAGAAAACTTTTTCTGCTTATCCGTTAGGAGCTGGCTGATGTTATGGTCAGAGCATTCTCCCTGTCGCAGTAATTCTCTGCTCCCCTCTCCTCTTTAATGCTCCCTTCCCCAATAATCCTTTCAAATAAAGTCTCTCCTTACTAAATCCAGATTTGCGTTTTATTTCTATATTGTACACAACATTCTTTTTTTTCTTCTTGAACTTATATTTCCATTCTACTTCTGCTACAGAGTTTAGTCCTAGCATAATATATTTTCAAGCCTGGCAATATTTTCTGGCACGCCCAATGTGTCACAAAATTATGTATATAAATTTGAACTTGTTAACTCTAACCGTGACCGGTAAGGTTCTAAGTGTTCACTGTTTTCCTTCCAACTGAAATAATTGTTGCAATTATTTGTAGTTACATTTGATCACATAACAAATACTGTATATAGCATTTCATTATATGAGCAATAATCTTTAACCATAAAAAGTAAATTTTCATTAGGAATGCCATTGAAAGTATATCTTAAGAAGATAGATCGAGCCAGTTATTTTCCCATTAAGTTTATAAATCCAGGGATGAATATTACTTGTTGCAATGATGAGAAAGAGTGGACTTTCTATTTTGTTCTTATTAACATAAGCACCAATGAAACATTGCTCACAGAAAAAGCAGATAGAAGTGGAAGGAGGTTTATTCTGGCTGTATCTCTCCGTTCTTTTAATTTCTGATAATTGTCTAGCCTCAAAAAATATTTTAATGGCCTATTAGCTGACAATATGATTAACACCTCCTTGGATTGTAGTGAAAGCAACGAATCAGAAACCACCTGCCTTGTAGAAACATTCTTATAGACGGGTCCTCAATAAAAAGCCATATTTAGAACTGCCTTATGTTTTTTCCTCCCTGGAGACTATTTTTATTTCCCAGGGAGACGCAGCGGAGCAGGCTTCAGAATGCGGGGAGGGGGACTTTCCTTTGGAAAGTGAGAGATGGCTGGTTATGAAAGGGGAGAAGGAAGCGGAACCCCAAGGGCTCCAGGCATGCTTTCGGGTCCCGTCCCCTGGGATTTGAGGATTGGGATACTGACTCTCTTAAAACTGTCCTTGCCCCCAGAGGTACCTCTCACAAAGCCTCCATGTCTGGAGACAGTTGCTCAGCATCTCTGTCCTGTCAATGTTGCTTCCTGTGAAGCTCTGAACTCTGTCCCTCGTTCTTCATCGTCTCTACCACTCCGACCACCAGGATCTTCCCTTGCCTGGATGTTCACAGTCATCCCCCAACCCCTCTTTCTCCAGGCCTAATCCATTCCTCTCTACACTGCGGCCAGAGTGAGTTTCTCCAAATTGCTAGTGAACCAGTTCTGGCTTAAACTCCTCCCAGCTCCCCAAAGCCTTCAAAAAGAGTAGGTTCCTCAACACATGTATCCCTAGCCTTCTAGCTACCTTTGCGAGGCCATTTCTGCTCGCAACATGGAGCTAGGAGGCATCGGAGTGTTCTGGTAAGGGTCTTCGTTTGGACCCTGGCTGTGTCTCCTTAAGTGTCAAGTTCTTTACCTGTAAACTAGAAATAATAATAGTACATATCTCAGAGGGTTCTTGTGCAGATTAAATGCGTATGTTGCCTGGCACGCAGTTAGCGCTCACAATCAATGTGAACTATTTATTATCGTTCTTATTATTCGCGATGCACCGAATTATCTGTTAATCCTTTCTGTTAGGGCACCATGCGGTGAGCAACTAACTAGTCAGAGGCTGTTCTGGGTCCCAGTGCTCCGCCCATAGTAGGAACGTAATAGTTATGAGGAAAGCATGGCAAAAGGATAAGTGAAAAAAATAGTGCCAAAGGAGCAAACCTGACTTTAAAAAACCTTTCTTTAGTACCCATCATTCATATTACTTTACTGAATCCCCACGACACCCGAGGAGATAGGATTATTAACATTCGGCAAATGTGGGTGTGTACTCTCTAAGTCATTCGGCCTTTGGAGGCACGGACTTCACAGGAGCCCACATCCCGACCCAGGGAGCGGGGTGCATTGGAGACGGGGGAACACATCAGAGCGCGAACCCGGTGAGTGGAGGTTACGCTCCGCTGCGGTCTCTTTAAAATTTCCCGCGGACTCGGCCGGGCAAGCTCACGAGCCACGCCCCTTTCGGAATCCCCGCCCCTCCTGCTGCCGCGCGCCTACCCACAGAGAGCCAGACTCTCCCAGCGAGCCAATCACAAGAGGCCTTAGGCGGGCGCTGCCGTTCAGCGAACCAATAGGCGGGCAGCCGGAGCGGGGCTTGCCCGGGCTTGTGGGAGCTGCCGGCTGCCGGGAAGCCACGTGCGGACAGCGGCGTACGCGCCCCGGCTTCAGGTGATCGCGGGGACCCTAGTGGGAACAGCGGGGGTCGAGCGGGTCCCCGCGCGCGTGTGCGGCCCGGGCCCGCGGCGGGCGACGCCGGAACCTGGCCAACCGGTTCTCCGAGTCGGCGGGTGCGCAGGCCGCGCCGGGCCGCCGCCTGTGCCAAGTCCCCGCCCTGCTCGGGGGTCCGGGGCCCGGCCTGGCGGACGCTTCCGGCCGGCCCCGCGGCGGCCCGTGAATGACCCACGAGGGACCCCGAGCCCCTCCGCGGGCAGCGTCTCGCGGAGCCAGGTCTCCTCAGACTCGGGCGATTGTTAGTTTCCTGGCTTGGGGGTGGGGCCGCACGCTCTTCAAAATGCGGGTTCTCAGGCCGCGTTCCCCAAAATGGCAGTTGAGGTGCGCAGGTAAACCGAGGTCTTCATCGCTTCCGGTAATGAGCTGCTTTGGGCAAGCCCCTAACCTACCTAGTCCAGCTCGCGGTCTAATAGGTCCTTGTTTTATGGTGGAGGGGACGGCGACCCGGTCCCGTTTGTCCAGCTCGTCAGTGCCAGAGCAGGGTCTGGAACTAACTGCCCGCTGCCTCCCTGATCAGCCAGCAGATTGGTAGCCCCGATGCCACAGGCGGTCCGGACTTAGCGGGGCCATTGCTCTGAGGACTACGCTGGGGCGGCCGTTCCCTTAGGCCAGGGCCCCTGCGGGAAGGCCTGGTGGCAGCTGATCCCCAAAGCGTAGGCACCCGGCTGGAGACAGACTTGTGTTTGTCCTTACCATAACAGTAATGTTACAGAGCTCATCTGGGGGCCCGGGGTAGGGGAGGTGTGCCCTCAATAATTGCTGGCTTTGAAGACTGCCCTCCTCTCTTGAAACACCAGGCCACTGAGACCTTTTCTCAGGGAACCTATTTCTGGTTTCTTTGAAACCTTGCCAGCAGGGACAGGAAGGCCACCAACCCTAGACCCTGCCTCCGCTCCTGACCTGCAGGACCCTCAGCCCTCCCAGTGAAGAGAAAGGGCCCTCTTCCCCCACAGAGGTCAGTCTCTGGCTTCTTAGGCCTTGTTGTCCCCAGTGCTGGGCGGAAGCAAACTGAATGAGGTTCAGGATTTGTCAGCTCTAATATGTGACTTGTCAATACGAGAAAGTAGGTTATCATTAAAAACGCTTTTAAAAGGGAGGAGGCTTCTTGGAGAAGGGATGAGCAAGCAAGGGGAGAATGCAGGATGGGTCACTGTGCCTCACCCTGGCCCACGCATCACCAGATGACACATCGCCGCCCCTCTTCCTCCCATTTCTCTTCATCTCTGCTGTTGCTCAGATTCTTATCTTCTCCAGACCTATTCCTACGATGCAGTGGTGATCCAGTCACCCTCTCCCTAAAACTAGGTAGATTCATGGTTCCCAGTTCATCTCTGGATTAAGCCCCCAATTTTACCTCCCTTCAGGAGCAGTTGTATCTCGCTATCCACCCTTCTCCCCCCGCCCTCTTTGCTTTGAAATTAATTGCTGCACCAGGTTCCTTGCCCTCTACAATGATGTGCTTTGCCTCCTGGGCTTTGTGTCTGTGCGGATACCCTTCCCTCTCTGGGCTCCTGCGAGACCTTCCTGAAACCCTTCAAAGTGTCCCCTCCATTGCCAGGACGTCCCTAACCCAGTGATTCTGCCTGTTCCCGTACCTGGCCAAGTGAGTCAGGTGCCTGTCCCTAGTCCCTCGCTCCCATCCTCAGCAAGTTTCTGACTACCCCCCTCTCTCCGCCAAACCAGGAGTTCACTGAGGTCACGGTCACCTCCAGTTCTGCAGTCTCCACAGTCTGGCAGATAGCAGGGACTCTGGGTTTATATCAGCTTTTGTTTCATTAATTGAGCAAGTTATTTAACCTCTATGCCCCAGGCTTTTTTTTTTACCAGTAATATGAGGATAACAGTTTGTTTGGGTTGTTGGGAAGGTTAGTGATTCCATGGAAAGTACTTAGAGCAGTAGTTAGCATACGGTAGGATTTTACGAGTGCAATTATGATTAAAGTAAGTCTTTGACTCAGTCTAGGAGCCTGAAACAAAATACAGGCTCTAGAGCAGGCCAGGCAGGGAGAACCGCAGGAGGGAGGCTGGCCCGGCCCACTCCTCACCCAGCCCCTCTGCCCCGTGTGTTCTCTCTCCAGGTTGCTGCCCCGTTGGAAGATTACCTCCCAGGCCTTCCTTGCCCCGAGTGATGAGCAGATTGGCATGGTACCCCGGGAAGCCCACGAGCCTGCGCAGTGCCTATGCCCTTTGCTGGCCAGCTCGAATGCCAAGGATGTGCTTCGGAGAAAGCACAAGAGAAAGAGCCGACAGCACCAGCGGTTCATGGCCCGGAAGGCCTTACTGCAGGGGCAGGGGCTGCTGAGCACAGCCCCGGACCCAGGGTCCTCCCCACCGCCCATGTCTTCGGAGGCGCCCATGCTCTCGGAAGCACCGTCAGGCCCTCAGGCTGCCAGCAACGGGAGGCAGCGTCCTAGGGCTGGACCTGGAGGTGCCCCATGCAGCAGAAAGCCCACTCCCAGGGTATGCACCGGGCCCCTGCCCAGCAAGTGCGTGGCTATCGACTGTGAGATGGTGGGCACAGGACCCCGAGGGCGGGTGAGTGAGCTGGCCCGCTGCTCCGTGGTGAGTTACCATGGCGACGTCCTCTATGACAAGTACGTCAGGCCTGAGATGCCCATCGTGGACTACCGCACTCGCTGGAGCGGCATCACTCGGCAGCACATGCGCAAGGCCATCCCCTTCCAGGTGGCCCAGAAAGAGGTGAGGGCAGGGTGGGGACCTGTCTGGGTTGGTGTGATGGGCTGCAAAAAGCAGCCCTGGGTTTGAGTCACCACTTTGCCACTGGAAGCAAAGAGACCTTGGGAAAGCTTCTTAACTTCTCCAGTGGGTTCCTTCTCCATGGAAAGGTGAGTAAAAATCCTGACCTACCTGCAATATGAGAATCGCCGGGGAGTCACACATGATCATGTTTGTGGATAGGCTGTGCGAACTGCAAGGTGTGACACAGCTTACATTTTACATTTTCTTTTCTGTTATAAAAGTATTAGATATCTGTATAAAATTTGTAAGGCCCAAAGTGCTATCACCTTCAGGTGTGAATGTTTTAGTATATTTCCTTATGTTAGTTTTTCAATGCTTTGAAGAAAATTAATTAGTGGTTAGGACCACACTAACATATCAGAAATTCCCAAACGTGCTTGAGCCTAAGAAACACCTAAAAAAAACCAAAACAATACCTAAAGCCTTATTAACAATCTTGGTCCTTGTACCCAGATCCTTCTGTGAAAATTCTGATCCCTTAGGTCTCTAGGCCTGGAGAGGGCGCTGCTGAGCACTTGCCAAAAAATCCTCACACTGCAAACTTATAGAAACTTCAGAGTTTCAGGAGAAATGGGGTTAGAGACGCAACACCCAAAAAATGTCATCAGTGACACCCTAAAAATAAAAGTATGGAAACCTAATAGCAAGGGTAGCACAGTTCTGCACAATTAAATGGTTAAGAAATGTATAAATATACCAATACGGATGGCACTTTACCTTGAAAAGGACCTGCAGTTTCTTTGCAGAGGTGGATGTCAGAAGGGTTGCAGCTTGCGTTACGGTGGAGTGGTCAAAGGAGTTACCTGAAATCAGACAGAAAGCGGGGATGCCAGCTGTGAGCTCTGGCTACTCGCACAGGTGAGCGAAGCTCACTGTAAGTGTGTGAGGGGTGTGCCTTTTGTGCGTCCCCATGTGGCTCAGTTCAGCTGGGTGCAGTTTCCTACTTTCACTTAATCAAGGGCAAGATCAAGTGCTATTCTCAAGTGATGTTCTAATATATCAGTCATGGAACATTTTGCATTTTCAAAACAAGGATTATAGCAGAACTACTCGATGTTTCTGGGTCATTGGGGCTAGGGAAATTTGGGAAATACTGGTACACAGCATTATATATCCTCCTTTTTCACCTAAGATAGGGCCTAAGCATATTTTTCAAAAGATCTGAAGGTTATTTATCAAGCAGGCTGATCAGGAATAGAAGCAACAGAAAGGGAGGCCTGTGGCGAGTTCTCAGCTTCCCACTACTGACTTCAGCCTGGGTGGTGGTGCTCCCAAGAGCAGAAGCACTTTCTGTCTGCCCGGACTCTGAGCCAGTGCGAGTGTGCTTGATCCATTCCCACTGAATGGCTGGAGGGCTGTGGGGAGAGTCTAGAACAGTGTCATTGCCCTACCACTAAAGTCTAAATGTGCCTCATCCACCTGCTGTGAGAGCCCACTTTAGCAAGAGACCATACGTTGCCAGCAGAGGCAGGCCATGGGATGCCAGTGGCTGGTGATAAACCCTCCACCCCCCAGCAAAGGGGGCTGGAGGGTTTGCAGGCCTCTGGCCATAGACATGGCCTCCCTGGGACCTAAGGAGTGTAGAAGACAGGGGAGAGAGGTACACATCATGCAGATGGTCAGAGCTGGGCAAGGCAGCAGGTTTAGAGGGTGAGAAGTAGAGCCTATGTGGCGGAGAGGCAGAGACGGGATCCTGAAGATGAGGACTGTGTATGGTGCTGAATATGGTGTGTCTCCAGGGCCAGGCATGGCTCTGGACTTCACCCAGGATCACCTCCTGTGTGCTGAGTTTTCACTGAGCATCACCAGTGAAGTCAAACACAGTCCCTGCGTGTTTACAGTGAGCTGACGGTGGGAGTGGGTAGACTGTGCCAGAGCTAAATGTGTACTCAGAAAGTGCGATGAATCCCCTGTAGGAGATGTCGATGGGGGAGGCATGGGGCGGCCTCCTGACGTGTGAGCTGAGACCTTCTGTGAGAGGAGCCAGGTGTGGGAGGGGCGGGAGGGTTGGGGAAGTCTTCAGGCTGAGAGAAGCGTGTGCAGCAGGTGAGAGTTGCTCGTATGGAAGAACTAGAAGACTTGCCCCTGAAAATCTTGAATGCTCATGACTAGCCACGGAGCGTTGGCAACATTCCAATTTACAGGTCCGGAGAGCTGAAGTGCACCCCAGCTTCTCTTCAGTAGTACGTCGAAGGGTCTGGGTTGAAACTTGGGCAGCCTGGTTGACTGGAGCTCACAGCCCCCCGTCTCCATTCTGCCTTCCTCCAGAGCGACCTGTGCACCCACTGATCTTGTGCCAGGCTGACAGGGGCCCTTCCTGACTCCTTTCTTGGCTCACAGATCCTCAAACTCCTGAAGGGCAAGGTGGTGGTGGGGCACGCCCTGCACAACGACTTCCAGGCCCTCAAGTACGTCCACCCGCGGAGCCAGACCCGGGACACCACTTACGTGCCCAACCTCCTCAGCCAGCCCGGCCTCCACACCCGGACCCGTGTGTCTCTTAAGGACCTGGCCCTGCAGCTGTTGCACAAGAAGATCCAGGTGCGGGAGCGGGAAGGTCTGGCCCCTGTGCCAATCACGCCACGGACAGGGCTGTGGGGCGGTGCCTCCAGCTCCTTGTCATCCCTCCTAACCCAGCGCGGGTCCTGGGGACCTTAGTAAAGCACAGGCCTCCTCACCTACGTGCAGCCCTGGGTGCTTCTCTCCAGCATCCTTCCCCTGTGTATGCATCTGTCCAGGCTGATCCCCCACCCAGTTCCAGGCTCTGTCTGCATTTGCATCTAGAAGTCCATCTCCTACAATGAGATGGATCCTTCAGTCAGGGGCAGCTGCTAACTCCTGCCCCTACTGTGCTTCACGTTCATCTGTTCTTCAGGCCTTTGTTCTACAGTTGAAGAAACAGCTCAAAGAAGCTGGATGGTGTGTGCTGCAGCTGGGATTTCAGCACCTTTCTGTCTGACCAAAACCCACACCCTTCTCACTGCACCATGCCCGACTGCCCTGTTCGGAGAGTGCATGGTGTTGGGCGTGCACAGAGCCGGGTGACAGGCCTCTGTCCAGGATTGTGGGCACTGACGTGGGCTCTCGTCCGCAGGTGGGCCAGCACGGGCACTCGTCAGTGGAAGATGCCATGACAGCCATGGAGCTGTACCGGCTGGTGGAGGTGCAGTGGGAACAGCAGGAGGCCAGCAGCCTCTGGACCCACCCTGAGGACAAAGAGCCTGACAGCAGCACGGACGTGGAGCAGTATATGGAGGACCAGTACTGGCCTGAGGACCTGGCCCAGGGCACCAGTGGAGGCACAGGGGAGGCACAGGACGGGAGGGCGTGAGGGAGGAGAAGTTTGCTGGTGGCCTCCCGGTGTGGGGAGTGGGGCGGGAAAAGCACCTCATCTGGGCAGGGCAGGGTGCAGCCAGCTTCCTCCAGGGTCCAAGGAGTTGGGATTATCCCTCTTGACCCTTGTGTGTGCCCATGGCACAGCCCTCTCCTGTCCTGGACTGTTGGTCCCCCTACCCTGTGGTTTAGCTAATGGCACTTTACAGACACCATAAAAATGTCAGGTGGAGTATGTACTAGGGCCCCTGCAGGAGTAGGGTGTGTGCCAAGACTGTCCCAGGCTGTCAGCTTCCCTACCCCCAAGCTGTGCTATCTAAAGGGATAATGTCTCCTTGGGAGGGTGGGGCTGTTCTTCCAGACTCGGTGACTTGGGGTCAAGGCCTCTTCCTGTTCCACCACCTACCTCTTCCTCCAGAGTTATGTCAGGTGCAGAGTAAACATGCCCTGAAGCTTTAGCGCTAAGGCCACTCAGGAGACCAGTCTCCCTTTCTCTCCAAATGGAACTCTGGCAGCAGCCCTCGAGGGAACTGTGCCAGGCTCCGATGGCACAGCAGAGCCCACAGGCTCCTGGGGAACTGCCCCTCTGCTTGGCACTGGGAGCACCAAGCACTGTTCCAGGAGGGAAAGTGCATAAGATTTGGGTGGAGACTAGCATATGTATTTTGACCCAAATCAAGCATTTCTCCTGCCTACTCAGCACTAGGTTCTCTTAAGCAAAAGCCTGAGAAACGAGGCAGCAATTTGAATTCTGGAACTCCTGTGCAGAATGGCACCCAAGGGACTTTTATTAAGAGCAAGGCCACCAGTCTGTAGGGGAGTGGAGTCTGCATGTCTGCTGGGGCTGGGGCAGGGCAGCTATGCAGTGTACCCACCCTCGGGCCAGTCCCCCCTCAGACACTTTGATAATCACTGTGGTGGTTGGATTTCCTCCCAAATTTTTAAAAATGGTCTCGGGATTTCATCCCTCATCCCTCCTTCCCTGTTTCCTAAGGTGCAGTTTTAGGGTGTTAGGGTAACGAAGAGACCTCATATAGACCTTTGAGCCCCGTCGTTGCTTGTCACATAATAGCTTTGAGACCTTAAGCAAGTATGTGACTTCACTCTTGAGCCTGTTCCCTCATCTATAAAATGGGGAAAATAATATGACCTACCTCATAGGGACGTCGAGAGGACGAAATGCTAGCACTCAGCACGCCCGGCACACAGCGCCCTGTTCCGCTTGAGCTGCTGTTTTCCCTGAAGGATTAGTTGCAGCCTCTTCAGGGTCACACCTGGTCGAGGGGCTTCGGCCCAGACAGAACTGTCCTTGCTTGGCTGTTCCAGCAGGTGGGACACTGGGCCAGGGTGAGGACACAGCGTGGAGGTTCAGGGCTCACATCTTTCTCACCACTCTCTACCGCTGTGTGACCCGTGTGTACTCTGCATCCCTCTGATGTGTGCGGGAGGTGACTGTTTTTTCATGTCTGTCAGAGAAACAGCAGGGCCAAGAAGGAAGAAACACTACTGAAACCACACTACTTCCAACCGGGGCCGCAGATCGTTCGGTCAGCAGCTTTCCCCGTCCACTGAGCAAGGAGCTGGCTGAGTCACTGACCACTGCTGGCCTGGCTCCAGGACTTTGTTCTGGGTTCCTTAAGAGTTCATAGCTGATGCCAAACTCACAGCTGAGCAGTAGCTTCAATTCTTTTGTCTGCGAGTTGAAGGAAGATGGAGCTGTTACCAGTGTTCCAGAAATGTCCTGGGTATTAAATCAGCATTGTTGTAAGACTGTTCTAGAATAAAACTTAATTGGAAAAGTTGGTGAAGTGGCCCTTTTTGTAAATCCTCAAGCCAGGGTGGGAGGGTGGCTTGGTGGAGGGATTGGGGACGCTGGGACACAGTCTTGCTGGGTGCTTTGGCCTTTGAGGTGTGCAGCTTTCAAGAGGACACTTTGGGAGGTGGCAAGAAACTAGAGTACAGAATTTGTACAGTTTAAGATTTTTTAACTGCCCTATTATAGAGAGCACAAGTTTATTTAACTTGTTTTTCTCTGAATCTATGGACTCTCATCTTCAAATTTTTTTAGTTTTAATTGTTGCAAAATACACACCATAAAATTTCTCATCTTTACCATTTTTAAGTGCAGAGTTTGGTGCTGTTCAGTACATTCACACTGATCTCCAGAACTTTTTCATCTTGCAAAACTGAAACTCTATACCCATTTAACACTAACTCCCCATTCCCTCCTCCCCATAGCCCCTGGCAACCACCATTCTACTTTCTATTTCCGTGAATTTGACTAGATGCCTCAGATAAATGGAATCCTACAATATTTGTCTTTCTGTGACTGGCCTATGTCACTAAGCATGATGTCATCACAGTTCATCCATGTTGTACGTTTCACAATTTCCTTTTTAAGCCGGAATAATTCATCTGGGTGTATATGCCACGTTAGGTTTATCCATTCGTCCCTGGATGGAGAGCTGGGTTGCTCCCACTCTTGGTTATTGTGAATAATGCTGCTATGAACATTGGTGTGCAAATATCTCTTTTGGGTAAGTCCCCCTTTACTCATGGCTTCATTTACCCTCAGTCAACTGCAATCCGAAATTAAATAGAAAATTCCAGAAATAAATGTTTTAAATTGCGTACCATTTTGAGTAGCGTGATGAAATTGCTGTCCTGCTCCATCCCACCCAGCACGTGAATTATCTCCGTCCAACGTCACCCTGTCGATGCCCCCTGCCCCATTAGTCATGCAGTGCTCCTCTCAGTTACCAGATCAACTGCCACAGAACCACCATGCTTATGATCAAATAACTCATTAATGACCCCAAAGCACAAGAGTAGTGATGCTGGCAATTTGAATATGCTGAAGAGAAGCCATAAAGTGCCTCCTTTCAGTGAAAAGGTAAAAGTTCTCGACCTAATAGGGAAAGGAAAATAATTGCATACTGAGTCTGTTAACTTCTATGATAAGTACAAATCAAATCCTCCATCTGTGAAATTGTGAAGAAGAAAAAAGAAATGCTAGTATGTATACCTGTCACACCTCAAACTGCAAGAGTTAAGGGCACAGTGTGTGATAGTGCTAATTAAGATGGGAAAGACATTAAACTTGTGGGCAGGAGACATGAGAGTGTGTTTCGATTGATGGCCCTGTGTTGTGCCAGAAAGCATTGAGCCTATAGGAAGACTTCAGCAAGGGACCCCGAGACAAGTGACACTAAGCCAATTTACTGCAAGTAAGGGATGGTTACATAGATTCAGGAACAGGTTTGGACGGAAAAATATAAAAATTACTAGAGGCACCGTGTCTGCCAAAGATTGGTGATGTTGACCATCTTTGCATGGTTATTTGGTACATGTTTTAAACTCATTCTTTTTCTATGTCTGTTTTTAAAATGTATTCCATTAGCACAGTTCAACGTGAATTAAGCTGAACCACGTGAAGTTGCTGACATTCGACTATTTGAGATGGTTCCAACCTGTCATATATAATTTAAAAATTCACGTACACATTTGAGGAGTATGTGCCCAGCTGAGGTTGGACACAGCTGAGCTGGACTTCAAAGGGCCAGTGCTTATAGGGGAGGTCTCAAACCTGCTGCTATGAGTCCTACACTTGGCCTGTGCTCTGTGCCTGGTGCTGCACATTCAAAGAAGGCCACACGGTAGCAGCCCTCATACGTACTACTGTCACAAGAGGTAGGCCAACTGTGACAGGATACGTGTCTTGTAAGGCAGAGAGGTTTGCCCTGAGTGGCTCACTTTGCAGCTGTCACCTGACCCAATGAGATTTGTGGGCTCGGTCTGGCCAATGGCTGGGGTCAGGGTTTCCTTCCTAGGCTCTGCTACTCACCAGTGCCTGTGTTCCACCTCAACGCACATAATATATTTGAAAAAGTTCAACATGACCCAGGCAGGGTTCTTGGTGCTGAGTGTTCCACAGCAAACCAAACGAGTGGGAGGGAAAATAGTAAGTGAACACATAAAATACATGGTCTTTCAGATGGTGCCAATTCCCGCAGAAGAAACCAGGGGAGGGGGTAGGAGGTGCAGTTTTAATAGAGGCCAGCACAGGGAGCTGTGGATAGATGACCTGGAGGAAGAGCTTTGGTGATGGGACAGCAAGCGCCCTGGCCCTGGGGGAACAGAGAAAGAGCCATGGTGGTGGAAGGAGGTGAGAAGGGGCTGACCTGCATAGCGAGACCACCTGTCTCTTCCAGCTGAAGGCAGAGACCTGATTCTACTCCTCTAGCCCTAAGGCCCAGAACTCAGTGAATATGAATTAAGAAATGACCCAATCGTTCCAAAGGAGGCAGGGAAGACCTGTGATGGTTTGAGAGGGGTCACCATGTGAATACACAAAGGCCTTGAATTTAGGTTTAAACTTGAAAGATCGGTTGGATAGTGGTCCAGGATGAGAGCAGAAAGGCCCGTGGGACAGATCAAAAGAGGGTCTTGGAAACTGCACAGGAAGTGAGGTTAGGTTTCTTTTTTTCTTTTGACAACAGGAAATCATGATATGTTCTTGAACAAAGAGCTGTGACAAACAGTGCAAGAGGTTAGATTGTGGGAGATGCAATCTGTTAGGATTTGAAGGACAGTTGAGGGCAGGGCAGGCAGATGGAGGCGGAAGACCGAGCAGACTGCCGCAGGTGAGGACTGGGTCGGGGACACGGAGCAAAGGAGGAAAACAGGGAGGACTTAAAGATGCTGATTAGGAGCCCCCTGCAGGGCAGGCTCAGGACCCGTGGGGACAAGAATTGGAGGGGTGGGACGTGTCCTGTCTGAGACTGAGGAGGCAAGTGGGGTGAGGGGGCGATGTGCAGTGGGGAGGGACGCCGACATGTGTGGATCACCAGAGTGTGTGTGGAGTCCACACTCCAAGTGAAGAGTCAGGGGGTCAGTTTTTCAACGCGTGTTCACGTAAAGGGAATTTTGCTTCATCTCCCCCTAAATCAGGGTAACAATCGTTTATGCATTTGAGAAACATTAAGTTCCCAAAGAGTCTGAATTCAAGCAAAAGTTGCTCATTCAGGGATGGGAACCAAAAATAATCTCAGACCTCAAATTTGAACCAACTGAACAGCAAACAGGGACAATGCCTTATGGTTTAGCTGGTTTTATTTTTGAGGTCTGTTAAATTTGGATGTCTCATGGTGAAAACACCATGGACCCGGGAAAATTTCTTTCCAAGCCACAAATTTTTGTGACCACGGGGGGCAATCAGATCCGACGGCTCAGTGCTTATTCTGTATGAATCTGGCCTAGGAGGCAAGATGGGGGGCTCTCAGCTCATGGTTGAATCTTACCATAGTATTTGATGGACCATTTTCTCACTGAAAGCAGATCCTGTTTTTGCCCTAGTTGTAACTCACTCATTTATTCAACAAAGACTGAGTGCTCCCTATGCGCCAGGCACCATTCTAAGAGGTCAAAGTTCCAGAAAGGGGGAGAGTAACCAATAGGAAATATGGCCAGCCTGGGGGCTCCCTCCAGGCCTGCTTCTCCTTGTCCCGAAACAATGGCAGCCCAGCTGGAGGCAGAGACCGTCGAGGACAGACAGGTGGCCATTTCTGAGGCACCTTGAACCAATGGAGGCTGTAAGGGCCCCCTCGCTGCTTCTCTGCTCTTCCCAGTTAATATCCTCGACGTCCACAAGGCCAGCTCCTCCTGCGCCATAAAACCTCACAGAGCATGAGGTTGGTAGCGGCCCAGACGCTGCAGGACATTTCCCGGCTCCAATCCCAAAGATGTTTATTCTGTGGGCGGAGGGTGAGGAAGGAAAGAAAGATGTTGCAATCCACGCCCTCCACGTCAGCAGCGTCATCTGAGCGATTAGGGGGAGGACAAGGGCAGAGGCGGGACAGCCAGACATGCTGCCTTGTTAGTCCAGTCTCAAGCCACCAAGCTTCCCCACATCTGCCGGCAGTACAAGGAGACAAAGCAGCCAGCCCACGTGCCAGACTTCTGCCCCCGACCTCACTCGAAAATGAACCTGAAACTGAAACAGAGTCAGGATTCCTGGCTTGAAGTCCTAGATGAGTCATTGCTAAGAGGAACTGCAGTAGCTGAAAAGTGGCACCAGAGAGGCAGGCGTGAACCAGAGGCACAGGAGGCAGGCAGGTGAGGGTAGGAACTGGGATGGCGGGTTCGATGCGTGCCTCCAGGGTGGCGGGCCAGGGCAGATGGCCTCCTGGTCCTGAGGCTGCCAGGCAGGACCAGAGGTCCTGGGACTGCCAGGCTGGGAAGGCTGACATGGTGGCAAGAGGCCAACTTCCCTTTGCCAGGTGGCATTTGTGATAAAGGGCAGGGGAGAGGGTACTGGCTGGGTGGTGGCTGAGGACGACTGGGGCCTTGGTTGGCCCCTGAGTGATGCGTTTCCTGCTACCTGCTCTCCAGCACATCTGAGGGTACCAGAGAAGCATGGCAAGTAACATGGAGGTGGTGGCCATGGACTGCGAGATGGTGGGGCTGGGGCCCTTTAGCATCGAGAGCGGCTTGGCCCGTTGCAGCCTCGTGGACTACCACGGCGCTGTGCTCTATGACAAGTTCATCCGGCCTGAAGGTGAGATCACCAATTACAGAACCCGGGTCAGTGGGATCACACCTTGGCACATGGAGGAGGCCACACCCTTCGCCGTGGCCAGGCTAGAGGTGAGTGAGGGGCCATTTGCCAGCCAGGCCAAGGGGGACTACAGACACCCTCCCCTACACACACACACACACACACACACACATGCACGCACACACACACGCTTCACTGGCAACTTCCCCAGGTGCCAGATCTGTGACCTACGTCCCCAGCGGTGTAAGATTCCTTGCTAACCCTGCGTGGGGAGGACCAGGGTACAGAGAAACCTGTTGTTGTCTCCATTACATCCCTGAGAAGACTTTCTGACATCACAAAGACTCAGATTCACATCCGGGAGCAGCCTTTGGGGCATCTGGTCCCCCTTGCTGGTCCTGTAATAGGGAAACAGAGCCCCACTTGACGTTCTCCACACTGATTTGAGAGCTAGACTCCCTATTCTTTCCTCTATACCAGGCTGCCACTGGTGAGCCCTGTGGGGAAATGAGGGGCAGGTCCTGGGCGGAGGCCTTCACTGGCTGGGTCCCTTGCCAGGGGTCCCTCCGGGTCCTAGAGAACCAGCCAGAGCCCCCTGGGCAGAGGGGAGAGCTTGCTCATGGACCCACAGCAGGCCAGCCATCATTCAAGGTTAGCGTGTGGCCCCGAGTTCCACCCCGCCCACATCTAGCCCTTCAGCTTGTTGTCATATTTTCTTTAGGTTTAACTTTCTGTTTCTCAAATTACCAAATAGAAAGCAAACTCAACCACTCTAAACATGGCCTCTGGGTTAGTCACTTCTGGGAAGGTTTGAAGGGCAAGTGAATGCTTTGGTTTCTAGGCTGGTGGGGCTTGGGGAAGTCCAAGAACAAAGAGAAGTGAGGTTTTTCTCAACTTCCCACACCACATGCATACCCGCGGCAGGCTCCACCGTGAGCGAAAAAGCCACAACAATAGTACTATTGACGAAGTGCTGGCTGGATGCTCCCCTAGCACTCGTGGCCTGCCGGGTGGGTTCTCAGGAGCTAACTCGTGTTTGAATCCAGTTAAGTTACCTTAGGCAAACTATTCAACCTGTCTGGACCCAGTTTCCCCGCCCATAAAATGGGTGATAACAGTACCAGCTTCCTATGATTATTGTGAGGACTGAGAACATGCCTGCAGAGAGAGCCTCTGTGAACACTCAACATTAGCTGCCATGATTGTTCGCCTTGCCAGCCCCGTGTTACAGATGAGGAAACCGAGGCTCGCCTGAGCTGAGTGTATTGGTTCGCTACAGCCACCATAACAAAGTACGGCAAACTAGGTGGCTTAAACAACAGAGGTGTTTGTCTCACAGCCCTGAAGACTAGAAGTCTGAGATCAAGGTGTCAGCAGGCTTGGCTCCACCTGAGGACTGTGAGGTAGAGTCTGTTCCGTGACAATTCCTAGCTTCTGGTGGTTTGCAGGCCATCTCTGGCGTTCCTTGGCTTGTAGAAGCATCACCCCATCTCTGCCTTCATGTTCACATGGGATTCTACCTGTGTGTGTGTCTCTGTACCCAAATTTCCCCTTTCGTATAAGGACACTGGTTATTTAGATTAGGAGGCTCCCCCTACTTCAGTATGACCTCATGCTAACTAATGACATCTGCGAAGATCCTATTTCCAAACAAGTCACATTTTGAGGAACTAGGGGTTAGGATTTCAACAAATGAATTGGGTTGGGAGGGAGACACAATTCAGCCCTTAACACTAAGGAACTTACACACGTTCACATAACAGAATGGGGAAGAGCTGGTTGGGATTCAAAACTTGGGCTCAAAATTTCTAGAGCTGTGTGTGTCCAATAAGATTTCGAAGACTTGTATTTTAAAAAATTATAAGATGCCTCCAATTTTTTATATTGATTACAGGCTGAAATGGTAATATTTTCGATATATTAGGTTCCGTAAAACTTTAAAACTAGTTTAACCTATTGCTTTTTTACCTTTTAAAATGTGGCTGTTAGATGATTTAAAATCACATATGTGGCTCACACAAGTTAGATTTCTATTGGACCGCAGTGCTCTAGAGGTACTAAGAGGATACTGAGGGGCCGTGGGAAGGAGGCGCAGTCCATCACAATGGTTCTGGAAAGACTCCGTGAGGCTGGTGCTATTTGGGAGGGGTGGGAGGAGTCTGTGCTTGCAACTCAGAGAAGTCACTGAAGATTCTTGAGCAAGAGCATGGCAAGATCAAAGCCAGTTTCAAGAAAACTAGACTAGGGCGTGCTGTGGAGGAGAGTGAGGAACAAATGACAATGGGGAGAGGGGTCAGGACCCCTGGGAGCAGCTACGAGGGCCTGAGACCTCAGAGGCAGACGGGACTGGAAAGAAGGAAATGTTAGGAGGGAGGAGACCATAAAGTCGCCAAGAAGAGGAGGAGGGAGGCAAAAAGAAGTGAGTAGGTCTGTTCAGGCGCTGACGGGAGGCCCAGGGACACTGCGAGAAGCTCCCCACGATGAGACCCCACCGAGCATGACCCCACCCCTCCGCTTCCTCCCCAACCTCCCTCCCCATCACAGAGCAGGGAGACAGGAGGCAGCAGAGAAACACTTCTCATGGCCCCAGGCCTGGGCATAGAGGCAATTCCCTGGAAGCCTTTAGCATTGGCCGGGGAGTCAGGACACCCCGGTCCTTGTCCAGCTGCAGAAACACTTCTGTTTCTCAGCTGGAGGTTCTGCCCGGCCCAGTGCTTCTCGTGTGAGGCATGCTGACCGGCCTAGAGTAGGCCCTGGCATTCCGGGAGTGAGGCAGGGATCTGAAGACCACGCAGGTCTTTAGAACCACCTCTGGGCTTCATGCCTCCTGCTCCATCACTTACTGGTCTGTGACCTTTGGCAAGTTATAGACCCTTTCTGAGCCTGTTTCCACACTGGCGAAAGGGGAGTATTGATGCCTCCTCCCTGGTCCCTTGTAGGCTGGATGCAGTGACATGGCTTCCAGCCCTAAGCACAGTGCCTGGTTCACCACTCATGGTCAGTAATGTGCCCATGGAGAGAGAAGGACATAAATCCTCATAATTCTGAATCCCCCCTTTCTGACTCCCGTCAAGTACTGAGGTCTGAGACTCCGGCCCTCGTTTCTGCCAGTTTGTGCCAGTCTCTCCTACCCTGCTCCAGAGAAACTCCCCCAAGCCGGGCTCAAATCGCAGCGGCCTCTCCAGCCCCTATTCTCAGCCTTCCATGGCTCTCCATGGCCTGAGGTCCCCTAGCCCAGCATCCTTGGCCCTCCAAGCCTCAACCTACCCTACCTTTCCTGCCTTCTCTTATAGCTCAGCCATCACCCACCTGAGCTT